GTCTCAGCACACACGACACACACAGCACAGAGTCCACACAGAAACTTGACTCTTATAGGCCAGTGGGCTTTGCTCTCCTTTCCCCGCCCCCCACAAGGGCTCAGTTATCTCTGAGTCCAGAGAACGCGGTTCGACGCAAACAGTGATTTCCTGAGTTCTTCCAACGTTTCGATCATTCATATGAAGAGAGACTTGATGTGTGTGGTGTGTGTGGTGTTGTGTGTGTGTGTGTGTGTGTGTGTGTGGGTTAGTGGTGTGTAGAGGAGATAGGAAAACACAGGAGAGAATTAGGATTGGGATGACCAGAAGAAAGGTTGACCCAGGGGCGAGGGCGCAGATTGTAGAGATCTGGGAATCAGAAGAATGTATTGTAATTTAGTATTCCTCATAGAAACGTTGTGTGTGTGTGTGTGTGTGTGTGTGTTGTGTGCGTGTGTAGTGTGTAGCTGAGTGCCAAGAAAAGAGAAGACAGATAGAGAGGATAGTATGAACAGTCACAATAAAAATGAAAAAAGAACCACAATGGCCTCCGGATGAAGTGTGCCCAGGACCGCTCGACCACACAGTGAAGCTTGAAAGACGGAGGTCGATAACTACTACTCACGACCATTTATACATGGTTTTCCATGGACAGTGATGTTGCACTGTCCATGGAAAACCATGTATTTCTAAATTAGGTGTTTTTTTAGTTTTCACAAAAGCCAAAGGGTTACATGCTTCTTTAATATATTATGCCTATGATTTTCACAAAATCAAACCCTTGTCTGCAATAACAGAAATTCTGTAATGACCTCTCTATATAGTAGTTTTCATGGTAAGTGGCAGAGCCGCCATTCCTGTGGTAGATTCAAATTGCCTTCAAAAACAGAAGGGATTTCCAGGAAAGGATGCAGCATACAATCCAACATTACTGTTTTTAATTGGACCTCACTGATAGCACTTTTTAGTCTTCACTCTTATTGCCATATCAGAGCTGGATTAAGTTACTGCTAATGCTGCTGCTTCACACTGACTGGCGAAACAGGGTATGTTTTTAATTGTGGAGTAGTCACAGGAAGCACAAAATATTTGCCACAGAGGTTACCACGTTTTAACATTTTTTCGACAGCAGATCTTTTAAAAATTGCAGCAAATATAGGTAAAAAGTCCTTTTGTGTGGAAAACGTGCAGAATCAAATCAGATCGGGGCTGCTCATCCTATGATGGAAAAAGTCAAATTATTGACCGGGTTCTTTATTAATACACCAAACTCATGGTCATGTTAGGCTGCACTGCAAACAGATACACTAGTTACTTTTTTGATGTATTTTTGACAAAGTTGCTTCTTCTGGGTGTTTGCTGCAGTGTTGCCAGATAAACCAGGACTGAAATCTTCAGGATTACAATTTTAATAAGCAAGAGAGAATGAACTCAGAGAAATATAAGAAAATATGTGTATAAACCCATTCCATTAGCTTAAAATAGGACTTTGTTTTCTGAGTTTCTAAGCTCACATTTCAGATAACTCCTGCAAAAATCTGATGTACAGTATATTTAGACTTTCTAAACTCAACAACAGCCACTGAGTCACCTTTCTAAAGCACCAAAGGCAGGAAGCACACGTTATCACTGGACTAGGAACTTTTTTGGTCCATTTTAGAATATCCGTCAAACTAATGGTTATAGGTATTTGTTGCTGATGGGCGTCTGTTAAAACCCTGCCGCTGGGCACAATTACACCTCATGTTGTGTTAAACTAAATTTGCAATCCATCTGATTTGTTTTGAATTGTCCACTTTTGAACACAAACAGCAGGGGGCAACGTGATGACTTCTCCTCTCTATGGGCACCAAAATATTTCATGAGACCCTTGTAGATTGTTAACACACGAGAATATTCTGAAGTTATTAATAAGAGACGAATAATGCTATCTCATAAAAATGCTAATTTGTTGTCATAAAAAAGTTGTTACTGTTTTGTCCTAAATGGTCTCTGATTTCATATATTTTTAAAGTAACATTATCATCATTAACTCGATGCTGGTGGTGTAGCATCGATTTCTTTTTGATGCTATTTCAGTATAGTGATTTTTAGCTGCAGACAGTCTCCCCTGTTGCACAACTTTCACATCTTAAGAAAATAAAGTGCTCAAAGTCTCACAGGAACCTTTCTCACCAGGAGATGTTCTACAGGGAAAACACTCTATTTCTGTCTGTTTCTTACAATGTTTGATAAAGCTTCTACACAAAAATGCCATACTTGGATACATATCTTTACAGCATATGTCTTTAAGTTTGAATCATTGAAGGAACTGAGATATGGATGTCAATGTTCTCATCATTTAGCAGGCTGATTGTCCCTTCCTTTAAATGTCATCCAATCACATTTCTTCTGTGATGACATCATACTACACCTGTGACTGACAGACAGATCTTTGTAGGCTGACAGCGTGACAACCTATAGTCTCTCATTAAACTGCAGACATGGCAATAAGCACCTGGCATAATTATAGTATCCAAATGTATAATTATGTAATTACACCATATGGATCATTTGTCATGCGGTGAAAGTACACCTCAGCACCTTCTTCCGGCTGTGATTTGACCTCGTCTCACTGTCTACACACAAGAAAAGTCCAACTTTTGTCTGTGACAGAAGTTACAGACTTGTGATCGACTTAACCAGGAGTTCACTCAGCTAATAAACCCGACTACACTCCCTGAAGCCAACTCTCTGAGACAACCGTGAAGAGTTTTACACATCGCTTCCCATCTTTCCCAAAATGCTTAAACGCACACGCGCATACTGAACTTATAAGCGCTGGTCCGATTACCTTGAAAATCAATCTCTCATAGCTTTCAATAGAGTTTATGTGCTCTGAACCTTCTCTATCTCATTTCCTTACCACTTACATAGTCTTTAAATGTCAAACCATGTGATCTTAAGCTACTAACAGGAAAGCAGGAGGCTCTGTTAAGTAAAGAAGTTTGCACGCAAAGTCTTTGTACTTGTTGTGCACATCGCTTCAACCTGATGTCCCAAAAACACTTTGCTTACAAAAACTTTCATTTTCACAGACAATTACATACTTGGAACTAGGCCTGTGCAGTGCTAAAATAGGTTGGACCATTTTCAGTAAAGAACCGGACCAATTACAATCAAGATGACCTATGTAACAGGCAAACCTATGTTTCTTCTACAAATAAAGCTCATTCAAAAATACAGAAGCTCAGTTAATTTAAATCTGGTTTGTCAAAACACTTCAAAGGCAGCTGTTTGAAATCCATATTTCTACAGAAGTAGGCACTAATGTATCACTAATACTGATAAAATTACAGAAGAAGGTTGCGCAGAATGCCCAGCCAGCATTAGAATAATACATCACCATGGGTGTAAAGTATGGTATTATATTCACATAGCTAAAACAAATTTTAAAGTTAAATACAACAACGCCATTCAATCTTTATGAAGGTTCAATTTTCAAGAGAGGTATTGATTCAACTTTATACTCAGTTTGGACATTGTAGTTAGAATTGTACTGTGCTATTTCTAATATTTTGGCCAATGTCAATGAGTATAACACGATACAATTTAACAGCAACACAAACTGCAGTTTATAAACTAAAAAATCAAAAAGTTGAAAGTAGGATTTATTACTGGACTGCATTAGAATATACATAGCTGAGTGTTCTCGCTACTGGCAACTGAGGGCAAATACATGAGTCAGATGTGACTAAATACAGTAAAGGTGAAGTGAAGTAGCGTTGGCTCATGTTAAACAACCGCCACTGCAGATGAAATGCTTGCAGATGAGGTTATGTATTAAAGTTTTATTCACGTTATGTTTAGGATTAGTCGTGTTCCTCTCACTCTTTACCATGTTACCTGGAAGTTATAGCACCGAGAGGAAAGTAACAAACGTTCCGATACCTGAATAAAATTATGGCTTTTTTCGGGGTTTGACCCATTGTTAGAAATATTAGGGATAATGTCAGTACACAACTCCAGTTCTAGGTCTAGTTTAATGTGGAAACGTTATGTATGTTACTACGTATGTATTGTAAGTCAGGCTGCCTATGACTGTTTAAAAACCAGTGGGATCATCCACCCTTACATGGTGTCTTGTACAACCATCAGCCCCTGATTAATCTAATCTAATATTTTCTTTCTGTATCTGTCTCCTCTCTTCCCTACAGTTGACAGATGTGTTTGTTCACTATTTAAACAGACACTGCTCTGTTTTCTTTCATGCTCTACTTAAGCGGCTGTCTACATGCGCTTGAACGCTTGTGCATTCATGGCGGGGGTGTGTGCGCATGCAGCGAGGGCAGGATAATGTGCAAGTGGGCCTCCAGTGTCATGTGGGGGAAAAAAAAGAAAGGTGGAAACAGAAATCAGTGTTGATGGAACGCTGCACAGGGGGAACTGAGCGCTAAATGAGTATTTATAAAGGGAGTGAATAATGTAAAGCACAAATCAACACAAATGCAACACAATGAAGCCAACCCACTTCTCTCCTTGTGTGTCTTTAGAGGTTCGACAGTGAATTACCTGTCTCGCTCATATCCACTTTCATTACGGCCTGACATTCAGCGAGCATGTGTGTTCGCGTGAGAAGTGTGTGTGGGTGTGTGTGTGCTAGCGTGTACCTGAATGTCACAGCGTAATGAGAATGGATATGACAGTGACAGGGCCATCAACGAATGGACAGCCCAGGCCGCCTCCCTTTTTCCTAGTGACATGCGGTGCGTACGTGCCGGGGATCACACACACACACCACAAACACAAACACGCAATCTTGCCCTATCTAAGACAGTGGGGTGCAATAGAGCCAAGACAATAACCAAACTCTATTTACCAGACCTCATTCCCTCATACGGACCCGAAGTAATTACTTTTAAATTGCAAAACTGAGGAACATTAACAAACGGTTGCGGCAATTTAGGTCCGCCTGGGGCTAGACAGCTTGTTTTCAAATGGAAATGAAGGTATTTTGCCATTGTCCACTGCAATATCGTTGTGTTATGGTTTAAGGCTTTTTTTTCTGTGCGCCTGATAAAAGCAAGGGACACTGGCAGTGTTTACCAGGCCCATTGTGGCAGACGACTGCTCAGAGCGAGGATAATTCTAGCTTAATACTAACGCTGTCGGAGGACAGTGTCACTCCTTCTACTCAGAAAGACAGACACGCTGCTGCTGCTGCTGCTCGGCCACATAAATCAACACAGACACTTCACTGATATTCGCAGTGGGACAATATAAACAGAAAATCCCTGCTCGCACATGCACACACACACACACACACACACACACACACAGACAGACGGAGGAAGGAGCATGCGTTTTCCCCATGTCAGGGTCACGGCACATCAATGGCAGCCATGATTATCATGATCAGCTCTAATGAGGGGGCTACGGGGGTGAACGCCACTCGTCTTTTTCCTTTAACACAGCCTGTTATTACCACTTTTTGTCTCCCTCTTTGACTCACGCGTACATGCACTCACGCTCGTCTTATACCATGTAATTCTCTCCCAATCACAGCCCTGTCATCCTGCCCTGTCACCGGCCTGACAATGTTGACAAGGGCGCCCCAAAACCGGGGGAACACAAAGAAGCTGTCCCCGGCACCGCCGGGGTCGCTGTGCAGCTGATGAGGTCTGTAATACCACCTACCCATTGTGTCAAAGGTGCTGCTTTTTTGTTGCGGTTTTGAGACTTTACCAAAGTTTGTCCTAGCTGGAAACAAAAATCACTGATTTCATTACGTCAGCAGGGAGGAAGAAAACGAGAGGAGCCGTCTCAGAGTGTGTAAAGTTGCTGTCTTTTATGACACGTATGTAAAATGTCCAGAATTGCTTAATTTTTATTTCATCTGTTTCTAATGTTAGCTTGCAATGCACTGGCGACACTCTTTGCTACTTGCAACACATGACATGTGTGGATACATTACTGTATACTGTAAACCTAACCAAACTGCAACTGAAAACTGAATATAATTTTTAAAATATACAAATATTAAGTCAACATTGACACCAACCGCAGTCTCCTGGGTGCAAGTCAAAAGTTCATCCACTACGACCTCGTCCCTACACAGACTCTCACTCATTATACTACGTCACCTGACTTCCTAAAGCCTTTCTTTTCTATTTTAAACAGTTCAATTACTGCCCAAGCATATATAAAAATTAATATAGTGAAATTTCTGTTTGATGACATGAAAAGGAAAAAAGGAAAAAGCGTTTTGCCTGTTAAACCTTAACAAGGAAATCCAAGATACATTTAATCTGTCTCTGTTTAACTGCAGCGGGAGCCTTTACATTAATGCAACAGTTCAGCCTCAAACCATGCTGGAAGTGTGACCAAAATGTTCAACCTACATTGAGTAGTAAGTCATGACTTTTACAGAGGGGTGACTCAGGGGCTTACAGATATTCAAACATGAGGCCGACATATTACATTTCCGGCACATTAACAGAGTGAAGTGCATGTTTAAACAGAGCTGAAGAGACAGAAAGAGAAAGAGAAGAGTTGAAGAAAGGGCAAGAGTTACAGTACCTCCATAGTCTGAGACTGGTGCATGGCTTTGATTGCATTCTGTGCCATAGCTCTGGTGGAAAACGTGACAAACGCACATCCTGTAGGGAGGGGAGAGGAGGAGAGGAGGGAGGGATGGTGGGACAGTGGAAGGGAGGAGGGGGAGGGCAGAAGGGCAGGAGGAGGAGGAGGAGGAGGAGGAGGGAAGACAAGAAAGAACAAAAACAAGACAAAAGGGTTGGACACGTCGTTGTTATAAAAAAACCCAAACAGAGATTGATACAGAGAACAGCTCACAGGCGGACAACAGTGTTCTCAGTCGCTGTGGAAACAACAGCTGAAAAACGAGCACATGTGTCATGACAACCACAACCCCTCCCCAGACCCCGTCCCACCACCTTGCCCCATCCACAGCCACCACAGGACATCTGAAACAACCACTATCACCACTGGGGCTTTGGATTGGTTGGCTGATGCCTCCCTCCTCCTCCTCGGCTCTTTTTGTCATGGTCTCTTATTTTTTCCTCTCCGCTCCTACACACTGGCCGAATTAGTCATACCTGAATTCAACCGCTCTCTTCTCTCAACAATTCAACGATGTAAATCAGTGCAAATTTGCATGAAAGCGATTTGAATTCATTTGGGCCTGCATTGTGTGTCTGATTGGGTGCCCTCTTTCTCTCTTTGTCAAACAGGAAAGAGATGTGGCGGCGGCATGGTGGGGCGGGGCGAGCCGGGACAAGATATCTGCAGGGGCTCGAGAAGACGGGAGTCAGATAGAAAATCATATTAATTCAATCCACAGAGAGACAAGGACGAGGGAGGAAGAGATGAGAAGAGGTGCGGTCGACCTCCTCCGTGACTGACACTGATTTTAGCCAATCAAGATCGGACGCAGCCAGAGGCAGTTTTAGGGGAGTTTGTTATTGGCTGTTTGTGGGTAGGGGGGTAATGCAAGGTTGTGTTTGCCTGGCTGGTTAGGGAGTGATTAGAGGAGATAATGTGAGAAGTGCTTCAACAACCCCCCGGACTAATAATATGCTAACAAACTCACCAAGCCATGTTAGCGCAGCCAGGCCTGAACTGATTACACACATGCTCACACACACACACACACACACACACACCCACATACAGACAGACAGACAGACACGGAGACACACGCACGTTCAGTTTCGGCTTGCTGACTCGTGGCTTGGCAATAGAGGAAAAAACTAATAGCCTGGGTCATCAGATAGACTCCCGGGCTGTGTGGATGGGATGAAGGGGCAGAGAGGAAAAAACAGGAGAAATTGTGAGGACGGATAATGAAACAGAGAGAGATAGAGAGAGAGAGAGAGAGAGAGAGAGAGGAAGGACAGATGTGTTGAGGAATAGATGTGATCATTGTCCTCTTCCACCTCTATCAAAAGCCTGCTGTTGCTGTGATAGAACGAGGCTGAGAGTGACGGATGGTCAGTTTCTCTCCCGCTTTCATCCACTACACAGATTTCCGACAGAGGCTTCTCCCTAACAACAGAGAACATGTCCTTTCAGCGGCCACTCATCGCTACATCAATATTATAATCATGTCTTTTGACCACTTTCGCAGGACAAATCTTTCTGATAACTCACTGTGTGCGTCAAGCTAAGTACAACGTGTCAGACACAGGACAAGTGTGCTTCTTAACAGTGAATTGGGTGCTCGGCAGGAGTTCGGAATCAAAAGACCGCCTCAGCAAAAAATCCATTTACAGCATTATTTGTTACTGTGAAACCATGTTTATGGTTTTCAATTCTCTGTCAGAAGCAAAGGTGAAAGTAGCATGGCGTTGTTTTAGCGCTGCAAAACCTCTTCGGTAGGAGGTTGAGGCGAATCCTTGGGTATATAAAGATATCAACTTTGATTCCCATCCAATTTTTTACCAAAAGTCAACAAGGGTTTCTTTTAATCCTAATCACAATCTTTACCTGATCTTAACCAGGTAGTTTTAGTTGCTTATTGCAACCAAACCAAAGTGTTCAGACTCGGTGGAAACCAGACTTGTACACTGGACAAAAAAGCAAGAAAAAGCACTCGGCAGAGTACCTTTTGGTGAATAATACTTTATGTAAACAGGAGTTTTTATTTGTTGATAGGGAAACTCCATTATTGTAAACATTGAAATGTAAAAGCTCATATTAAAACAGTAAAAACTGCTTCAATTGGGCCCCAATATTTTAAGACGATGCAGGAAGACGCAGCTGATGTTTTACTTCCACCACCTTTGAATGGGTTTTTTATATTTGTTTAGGCTGTCACACTAATATCTACAGTATCCAGTCTCAGACTGGTCCTGCTTTATTTACATGTCCTTGCCAACTTGAAGTTATAGTTTACTCATCTTTCAAAACTGCCTTGCTGAGACATTAGAGTGGTAATAAGGTAATAAAAAGAGACTCAAGGTTAGCAGATTCTGCAGCACTGACCTAGTAAACACTCTGAGGTGTCCTTTACAGTGCCGGGCTGCTGTGCTAGCTGGTATTACTGTAGATAGGACATTTGAAAAGGGGTCATTTTTTCAACTGATTCAGGGGACTGTCTATTTTAGACGGGCCACAATCTGTCATTTAACTTTCCAGGAGGTTGCCCCATCCTCTGCAGAGAAACGCTGCCCCAGAACTGGATCAGTTCTGGAGGGGGCTTCCATTTGGGTTAGCCCTCCAGACTGGGCCTGATGGGTCCTGACTCTATTTATAAAACTGGTCAGCTACAACGTCATTGGTTGTCATCTAATGGAAACTCCTGGGTTTGTGTCCAACTGGCAGACAAGAATAATGTTTTCCCTCATAAAAATATGTCCATGTTAAGCCAGTTTCTCCAGCTTGATCCTGCTGAGGTTTCTAAATAAAGAATTCCTCAGCGCCTGAACATTGATTCATTAATGTTGAAGCTGTTAATAAAAAAAAAACAACAACAACTTTAGAAGTCATGCTTTCTGGCTGGTTGGTACATGTCTTATTTTTCACGGCAGAGGGATGGGACGTGGCTTGAGCGCTAAAAATACCTCACGGGCCGCATTCTGTCGTCAGCGGAGAACCAAACAGTCCTTTAATGAAAGTAGGGTAGCTCCCAAGGCCCAGCCATCCACTGGTGGTGTGATCCATATTTTATTAATAGCGGGATGGCGGAGCACTCTTCTGATTGATACCACGTTTTAATAGGAGCTCAGCAGCGCAGCTAGGTGGGACTGAAGGCCTCTGGGACTCGCAGGAACAAAGAAATCCTTAAAGACCTATTTATTTTCCAACCTGGCTAGGGTTGTTTATTTACTAGCCAGACCCGAGCTGGACTACAAGCATTTCCTCTTTGACTTACTCAGCTGCTAAGTGGTTTATATCAGCTCTACAGAAATGAGGATTTGGCCATCGCATCTGAAATATTCATGAGGACAAAAGAGAGGAGCTGAAAAGGGATGGAAGAAGGAATCTGGGAAGGGAGGGAAGGAGGCCGATGTGGGATGTCTGGGAAAAAGAGGACAAATTGATGCAAGAGAGGATTCTAGGACAGCCAGGGTGAATAGATAGATACAGGGTGGTGCTGTTTGAAGAAGCAAAGGAACATGGGAGTTTGAGTTGCTTAGTTTGAGGCAAAGATTGGTTCTAGATAGAGACAACCCTGAAGAGAAAGAGAGAGAGAAGACACATTGAAATAAATAAGACTCAAGTCAACGATAAAACATCCATAACGTCCGACAACCACAGAAAAAAATATACGTGACAGATCCACACTGAACCTGCGTGACGATGACAATGACAGCTCGTGTGACAGGAGGAGGAGGAATAGGAGGACAGAGAGTTTCAAAAGCCCCTCCATCTCCTCAGCACATAGAAACCACAAAGGGGAGAGGGGAGGGGGAGGTAAGGATTATTGAGGAGATAGAAATGAGGGGGCTGGGCAGATGTGTGCGTTTGAGGGGTTGATGATGGAAGGGGTCCCAGTGTTACTACAAGAACTATTTATAGAGGTACAATAGCTGAGATTGGATTGATAGATGAGGCAGCTGGTTTACAGCTGGGAGTGATACGGCTGGTCATATTTCGACATTATGATCCACTGAAATTGTGACTTTGGGCATTTTTAGGCCTGTTATTTTCAAGTTTGTTAGGGAACATATTAGACAAATTCAAAAATCCAGCTGGTTTAACTGCTTGTTAATAGGCCTGTTTTTTGGTTTTATGTAACCTAAATGATTGCCAATTACACAAGGCCAACATGCCATGAATTCAACAGGTAGGCTGTTTGCCTTTGCCTGTTGTGGAGGCAGCGTGAACCCCTCTCCAAATCAATTGGAGCAATTTAAAAGTTTTGAGTTGCCACATTTTGGAGTCATAATTAAATGTGCTCTTGTGGACTTTGGAACAGCTTCTCGCCAAATCTGAGTGGCCAAATCAGCATTTACTTCTCTGAGAAACTGAGAAAAGGAAAGGATTGCTATTACAAGGATTTCCTTTCCTTTCTTGTGTAATGCCTGGATTTAACATTAGAATATTTGGCAAAATGTTGGCGTTAAATCATGAAAAGATTTTCTCAAAGCAAGGAAAAAACCTATTGTATCACCGTGTCTGACTCCTTGTCTTTAAAAAGTTCAATTTAAGCATGTGTACTTGCTTTACTTTCTATATGACCTTAAGAATGAGAGGAAAAACAGTGATCAAACAGCGCATCCTCTGTGTGTGTTTAGTCTTTCCTGACCACTTACGGAAAGGAAAGGAAAATGGTTGCTGTAATATGGCTTTGAAAATGAAGTTCTGCTGTGCGAAACATAACCAACCAGACACATACTGTAAATGCAACAAGCAGCAACACGTCTCCTGATTTGGACTGCCGGTTTGAAAATGCCCTCAGCCCTCACTGTGGAAGTATCAAAGAGCTTGGGACTGGCTTACGGTGAGGCTAAACTGGAACGGCAGGGAAGGTGAAGGATATGAATGGAGGTTAGGAGGTCAGAGGAGTAAGAAGGGGGGGGGGGCAGGTGATCGGGGGCTGAGGCTGAGAGAGCAAGAGGGGGAGAAAAAAGAGAGAGAGAGGCAAAAGAGATATATAGAACGAAAAGGAGAAGCATGTATTCACAGTGGCCACAACAGCCTCAAGATGTCGCTACAGTTCATTTGTATTCACTTCTTAACATGACTCTTTAGAGACCTTGAAGGAAATCTTAACCATTTTCAAAAAGCAGCTGGTTGAAAACAGGAACTGATACAATGCTTTTAGTAGACACAGAATGATGAATAATAAGCTCAATTTCGGATTCACTAAGATAACATGCAAAGCTTTATACACGAGGCAGTGCAAGGATATTTGGTTTGTTGGGTTTGTTTGCTTTGTACATCACTCTTACTTCAGTTGTTGGTCCTGGTATGCTACAGGCAGCGTTGCACCACCGAGTTATCACAGGGATTTTAAGCTACAGGAAAGAAGAGTATGTGTACGCCGTAACTTATTGCCCAAACACTAGATAAACTGATGAAACCCAAACAGAAGATGCACCAATTTTTGAGAGGTCAGCTCTACTGTTCTTTGGTTTCTTACTGGTTTCTTTGGTCTTTGGTTTGGTTTCTTAGTGCATTACAATTATTTCTGCAGTTTCTGTATCCTGTGGCTGTAGCCTTGAAGGACCAGTGTGTAGGATTTAGTAGCATCTAGTGGTGATTTGAATACAGCTTAGACTTCCAAGTGTGTAGGAGAAACTACTTTGGCTGTGAAACTCATGAAAAACACTGAAGAAACATGGCGGTTCAATATGGCGGTAAATTAAAATATACCAATGAATATTATATTCCATTCATGCCAATAGATCCTATTAAATGTTACACACTGGACCTCAAATAGTTAAGACTTACCAAATTCAGACAATACACTATCAGCCGAACAATGGCCCGACATGACAGGTGTGGGGTATTGGGAACGAAAATAAGAGTTGGGCACTACATTCATACAATAAATTAATTTGATGTGTGTCATTAATGTGAAGCCAACTATTGCAGCATCTCACAATGTTCAGACGTAAAGACTAGGATGGCACAATTTCTTTACCTACTTTCTACAATTTCTACACACAGAACTGCAAACACAGTGAAGCAGAAGAGGAATGAACCCTTGATTCAGGAGCATTAAATTACTCACTCTCTGCATACACATATATATGCGGCCCACCTTCACTGTGTGTTCACACATGTAAAGATCTGTTATTGGTGCTATCAGGCGCCTTGATGCAACTTGTTCCCAATTACCTATGTACCACTTGCAAGTATGCGGCAAGCAAGTCTAACACAAAGTCCAACATGCAAGAATTTCAGACTCTATAATTGCCTAATTTGAAAAAGTGACCATGTCAAAAGACAAAAATATTGTGTAGTCTGATCTCCACTTAAAAAGGCTATTTCAGGTAAATGGGGAAAGCTTTTTAAAAGGAAGCAGAAAAAATGAAACCAACTGTCTCCTGAAGTTTATGTCTCCAAAAGTTTTTTATGTTTCGTGCTGCAGAGAGACACTAATCACCAGAGTGAAACAGTGTCTCATTGTGACATTGACAGCTCGAAAAAAACTTCCAGTAAATAGTCAGTGAAGAGAAAAATGCTTGAAAACATGCAAATGAGCTGCTGATTATGCAAAATACTTAGTATGTTAAACGCGCAATAAATGGTTAAACTAGAAAGATGTTTTTTAAGGTTTCAGATTTTAAAGAATGACAATAGGATAAATTCCTAGATTTTTTGGACATGAAAACAAAAAAAATTATTTTAATGTGAAATGTTGCTTTTTTTTAACTCTGAGACCAGCCATTGACTCAGACACCGTCTTCAACCAGCCAACTCTACTTGAACAGTGACATAGTAAAGACTTCCTGCAAATTTCAGTCTGAGCCATGACACAATGAACAGCAACAGCTGCTGGAGGCTGTTCTGGTAATAATATTCACATGAAGAGTATTACGTGTGGATGGAAGTGAGTCGGAGCGACACACACCTCTGCTCAGTCCATCGGGCCCTCTGAGGATCCGGCACTCCTCGATCTGTCCGAACGCAGAGAACATGACCCGGATGTCGTTCTCGTTGCACTTCTTCGACACCATGCCGATGAACAACTTCCTGTCTTCCACCGCTGCGGAGCCAAGGAGAGGAAGAATACAAACAGTGTGAATGGAGGGAAGGACTGCACAGTAATTGTTGTATTTCTTCTGTACAATATGTCATATTTTTATAGACATGGTTAAACATTTTGGTAAAATTGCTTTCATGCTGAGAGTTAGTTGAGAGGATTGGACCACAACTTACATTTTTGCATATTTAAAAACAAATAACATATACTGTGTTAATTATTGAGTTTTAGAGGTGCTTCTAGGTGGATTTTGTTCCCTTTGTACAGAACCAGGCTAGCTGTTTCTCTCTGTTTCCAACCTTTGTGCTAAGCTATGCTAACAGGCTGCACAGGAGTGGTAACTACCCCTTTAACACTACATTTATATCTTTGTGTATTACATGGAGGTAGCCAGAGAACAGGCATCCTGTTGCACTGGAATTCACTGTTTCTAAAAGATATAACAATGACAAGACACAGAATAATAGTGAAGGAGAAAGAAAGATTGGCAAAAACAAAGAGAATGAAAACGAACGAAATAAAAAGACAAAAAACAAAAAGATAAAACAAAAACAGGACAATCGAGAAATGTGGATAAATGGAATGAGACAGAACAAAACACAAATCAAAAGAAACAGTCACAGAAAGAGGGGAAGAAAGAAGAAAAAAGACAGTGGGAGAGAGATGAACACAGACAGAGTTCATGTATTTCATCATGCCATCTGCGAGGCTCTGATCAATGGCTCATTATCACTTCAACGCCGACTGCTTGCTGAGACTCTCCAGCTTGTCCTCTCTCACCCTCTTCCTCCCTCCACCTCTCCTCCTCTTCCTCCTCTATCCTCCTCCCTTCTCCCTTGTGGATTCCCCTCTCTCTCTCTCTCTTTCTCCTTCGCTGACACAATCCCTCCTCCTACTGTGCAACGTCGAGGAATGCGAGGCCGGCTGCAGGTAACGGTGAGAAACTTGGGCCGGGGGTTTCGTTGCGTGTGAGGGAGGTTAAGTGTGAATTCGGCTGAGAGCGAACTCCTCATCGCTAGCAGAAACAATGTGTGTGTGTTTATGCGTTCCCACCACATTCAATGTAATGCTAATCCAATTCATTTTTAATGAGGAAACTGTCAGCTCTTACCGCGAGGCGAAAGAGATAAGCGGTCTGTTGCACTCTGGGAAATCAATAGCGCACTTGTTTATTTTGCTGTTTGAATTGTTGTGTGTTTAAAAAAACAAACCGTCGGGATACGCTGCCAAGATAAGTGTTGTTTCAAAAAGCTTTAACTCCTTTGTACACACTGTGTGTGTGTGTGTGTGTGTGTGAGTGTGCATCACTCCAGAGGAAGATTACCACAAGTCTAACAGCAATGTAATTAATTTACTCTGTGTCGATAGAAAAGAAAGAGAGGAGATATCGTTACAATTGACTGTTTCTGTTTTTTCGGACGAGGCGCACAGGCAGGCGGGCGGGTGATAAGACTCATAAAGCCGGCTCTGGGATGATCTGGAGTCAGCTTTGCATTCTGGGATAAACTGGAGCAGAATTGGCTTCATGCTGAGTTTCGACACATTAAGAAAAGACTCACAAAAGTTTAGTGAAAAGAAACACACGATTTACCAATAACGCTATCTCTCTGTTATACTGTACATCTCTCTGTCTCTCTCTCTGCTTCCATCTCCTTCACTGACTAAACTAATAAACCTCTGAGCAGTCATTCTTCACTGTTACAGCGACTCTAACACTGGGTTTATTAAAGGTCATTACCATTAAGTGGATGGATATGTTACGTATGGTCTGCTCTATATTTCACCATTCTGGCTGTGAGTAGTGGCTGCTTTATTAAGTTCCACCATCGTTACCCTGACGGTTATGTCTTATAAAGTCGTATTTTGCCATATTTCAGTGGAGCGGATGATAGCTTTTATAAGGATTTCTCCCCTGCCTTGCTGGATGCTGTCATTTTATTGTATTCCCCTGCAGTGGACAGTGATATAGCAGGTGGCTTATGATGCTACTCCATCGTCTGTGTGTCAGCCAGAAGGACTCCTCTGTTATGTAAAGTTATGGCAAAGGCCCTGCCTTAATATGCATACACACAGGGTTCATGTATAAACACACCTTTCAAACTTTGTCAAATCCTTTTAGTAAAGCTACCTGCGACTGGATTTTAATGGTCAATTCATCCAATCATGGCTTTATCCATTTTCATATTCTGCTCAATTACTCCGTTTAAGGGTCAATTCACTCAAACTGCAAAAACACACATTTTCTCACTTAGCCATGCAAATAATTTCAGTTCTATTTGCCAGAATGTTCAAATATCTGCTGCTGAGATTTCTTGAGCTTTGCCACACTGAATAATTCACAGATATTGCTGACAACAATTTAAAATGGGAAATATTTTTCCACCTGAGGTAAAGACTTTCAGCAGCGAGGTCTCGGGATTATAACCAGGAATTTGGCTCTGGGAAAACATTTTATCTCCCTAAGATTTAAGTGGCTGCAGAGGCATGGGCAGCAAACAAATATCCCATGGTTGAATTGGGAAGTGGTCCCCTTCAAAACCTCACCTTAAGATTGTCACAAAAGCCATCGTGATAACCTAAAATTGATTTTGTGGAGAATATTTAGGTTCAGTTTGATGTGGTTTAGTATTGACAGCATGTAATCAGCTGGAAGAGATCAGAAAACAGCGGACAATCGACCACCAATGAGCCTCTAAAGACATGGTTGTCCAGGGGGCTGTAATTTCAGAATCCCGCTATACCTCACCAACGGATGAATCCCAAACTAGAAATCTGAACCCTGCAGAGGCGAGTGGGAAATTACATTATGCGTTTTCACAACTGAGTAATTGAACCTTAAAATAGACACTAAATCAGATTTCGCTTAGAGACAACATGTCCACAGTGTTTGCCTGCCTCTCCCACTAAACTACAACTTCAACATCATTTTATTTTAGTTTCCAAATCTACCTCGACTAAATATCACTGAACATAATGAACCTGACAAATTATACTGAATGTTATTGCTGCATCAAAATGAAACCAATTAAAAACAGACTGGGATACCAGGGCAACCTTGTAAAGCTGTCTTTAAAGGCACAATGAAATTATTTTACTTTTATTTTACCAGGGAGTCCCATTGAGATAAAAAAAAGGTAGCAGCGTAACGTGATCACAGTACAAAAATCTACAATAAAACAGAAGGACAGCTTTTCAAACGCAGTAGCCTCTCAAGAAAAAACAACCACATTCACCTCCGTCACCACATTATTTATGATACCCTATTATTCTGTGTCCCTTCATTAACTGCTTCTATCTTTTAAGTATTTGTATCTCAAGTCTCCTTCTACTTCCTTTGAAACATTAACATATTTCAGATGACTCATCCTGCACTTGAGGGTGGATAAATACATTTTATCCAATCAAATACGACGACTCCCATCATAATAGGCTACACTTGACTTCCTTAGCTCGTGGGTCGTAGTGCGGCCGGAGAAAACATAGTTTGTGTTTCCAAAAGTTATTCCATTTCTCCCTCTCGTGTTTTGACGATGCAGGTAAGGAAGGATGGGTTGGAATACAGCTTCACTTCCCTGTGGTTCTCCGGAGACTCCATGATTGAAAGGTCATGCACACTTCAAAGCAATCAAATGAAATCAAAATCCCTCCGGAAATTACGCCCTGCTCACGTTTCACTTTGCAGAGGCTAAAGATGTTCGAGCAGTGGTGGAACGTAACCGAGTACGTTTACTCAAGTACTGAACTTGAGTACAAACTTGAGGTACTTTACTTGAGTATTTCCATGTTATGCAACGTTGTACTTTGACTCCACGACATCTCAGAGGCAAATATTGTACTTTTTATTCAACTATATTTATCTGACGTACTTTTCAGATGACTTCCTGTCCAGTGAAAACCATGTATTTCCAAATATGGTGATTTTAAATATGAATTCCTACTTCTTAAACCCTCTTGGATTGTGGAAAGTGCATTATAACAAAGTTAAAAAATGCAATATAAACATTAATGCAGCAGCAATATTATTTCAAAAACATCACATATAAAAGTGACACTGACTGACCATTTTACTGCACAGTGAGTACTATTATTTTTAACAATTTAAGTATATTTTGCTGATAATGACATACTTTTACTTAACTGTAGTGGAGTATTTTGTCATTGTGGTACTTTAAAGTAAAGGATCATAAAACTTCTTCGACTACTGTGCTTGTGTAACATTTGCTAAAACTAGCTGTTCCAGGGCCTTTTTTTAAACAATAAGACACTTTATTTGTGAGCTGTTTTTAAAAATGTACATCTTCAGTGGGAACCAATGGGCTTGGAGCTGAGTGCCTCAGACAGAAGAGTCATAAAGTATTTATAGTTGGACAAACTGTGTTGTCTTTTCATGGGATTTGTTGACAATAGGAGAAATATGAAATAACGCCGGCCCTATCCGTTATAGGCATCCCGATACTTCCTCTGCCTACAGCTTCATCGTTTGAATAAGAAGGAATGGAGGAAGAGGTTCGCTATAGGAAATCAATTCACAAGTGGATCTGCGATATGTAGTTTGGAAATGGGGTGATCTGAGGACGGATGTGTGACGGTCCTTGTGGGTGCGTAAGATAGATGCATTTAAGTGAGAGTGTGTGTGTGTGTGTGTGTGTATGTGTGTGTGTGTGCGTGGCGAGAGGAGGGTGCATACAGCATGTTTGTATGAGCGAGCAGCCACAGGGGAGAGAGGTGGGTTCACCACCAGGCCAAAACGATTCAACTTTCACTGACCTCCTTCTGAAGCACCTTAATAATTCATCACACATAGAAAAATATATTTATATATATCAGCATTCCCCCCCCCCATCTCTCTCTTTCTCTGCTCCTCTCTATGTCTCCCGCTCAATCTCTTCCCCCAGTACCTCGCCCCGTCTGCCAGTCAAGCAGCGAGCAAACACATGGGTGAGATAGCTATTACCAAGCAAATTCAAAAAGGCTATTGATGCATGTGTGTGTGATATTGATGCGTCTGTGTGTGTGTGTGTGTGTCTGGCCACTCACCGTTAGATTTCTCACTGTCTGCAGGTTTCATCTGAATAGGGTGGTGCATCTGTAGAGACAGAAGAGAAGGACAAAATATATTAAATGCTGCACGTACACACATGCATAAACACTGTATGGTGTTGCACGTACACTCGTTATTCCAAGCGTATGTGTCCCGATTAAATTCAGATGGCTTAAACATTCATTCATTTACAAGTGTATGCATCTCAGATATAATATTCAGTAGCACCAGTTTAGTTTTTTTCTGTGCTTGACACAAATCTGGCTCAGCCCTGAGACACTTTTACACCAGAACAAGAGGAAGACCAAAAGTCCAAAACTAAGAACATGGAGAGGAAAAGTAAAAACAAGATGACCGAGAATGAGAACAAGATGGAGAAATAGAAGACCAAGAAGAAGCAGTCCAAGACCAAGAAGGGGAAGCAGAAACAGTAGCAATGTTTCTGAATACCATGTGCTAAAACCAGCTTAACTGGCTATCCAGTGACTAACACAAACACATGGTTGGCTTGTATGAGTGAATTACAAGAGACTTGCCACTAGGCCATTAACATACATTCACACTCATTGGTTGCAATCATAAGGGTTGAGATAAACTGCTTTTGATGTCATATGAGTGGGCGCACATGTCAACTGTCGCATGTGGAAATTTAGGGTGTAGATACAGGAAGGGTTTACCTCCACAGGCTGCTGACTGTAGTTATACTTACACATTTGGTTTCCTTAGGAGTAAGGGTTGCTGTTGTAATCTTTAATTTTTAGCTTAAACTATCCTTTTGTCGAGGGCCCTGCCTGAAATGTAAGCTTCTAACTTCTAAACGATTCCAACAACTGAAAAATCAAACTCCTCATGTTACTCTCCATTTTCCCCAAAACAAACTTAGGGTTTTAACAGAGGAGTAAAGACTACCTATGCTGCTTATCTACATGCTACAAGTTTCAAACCACCTTCCACTCGTGAAAACAGCTAGTTATGCATGGCCGCTACTAGAAAATGAACCTCAGGTCACTGAGGTGGTGGATGGGAAATTTACCCCTGCGTCCGCGTCCCAAGGTGATTTCAGCAATCAGCGATCTGTCTCTAGGACCTATATTACATGTTATTAA